TAACTCTCATACAATTTTTTTATCTGGGAGGTTTAAGTTCTCTTTTTTGCCATTCAGTGCAGATTACAAACTCCAGGCACCTAGAGCTCTGTTTAAAAAATAATAGTAATCCTTGAAAACATTATTCTTGATTAGAAGGTGGGTGGAGTACAAGTTATCTTAGTGCCTATATTAGAGTGAGGGAATTATATTATCTTTTAAAACAAAACGACGAACAAAACCAGGCTTTCCCAAGAGCGTTTTAGAGAATCAGCTATATAAAGACCTGAAAAATTATTTTACTAATTAGAGTTGGTACCTTTTCTTGAATGCTGACTAGAAAACTGAAAAGTGACAAGACTGAAGTCTTTGCAGATAATTAACCTTTAACTGTATTTGCCAATTGGTGACAAGCCGATTCTGCCCAAGAGTTTACACAATCATTTATTTTCCTTCCACTACAGAATGGCTTTGTACTTTCTCCAAGGGGAAGGAGGGGGGATGGAGTGTACAAGAAACAGACTAAAATGAAAGGAACTATACCATGTCGTTGTTTCTGCTTTTAGCATGCTCTTTATAATGTATAATTTCAGGTTATGTTACCATCTTGCCTGGCTGTAGATAGAGGGACAGATATGACTGAAAGGTCTTACGTTTGATAGCACTGTGATAAGCTTCTTTTAATGACATTTTAAAAGACTATGTCATGTAGGAGAATAAGTGCTATTATGAAAATACCAAGTATTCACAGGTGATGAAACACTACCCACATAGTGCACGTAATAGCTGGGTTTTAAAAATTATGGCCAATAGTTTGTAGCTGGCTAATAAGTCCAAGTGACATGAAAAATGTCAGAACTTTACTTTCAAGTGCGGACGAGGCCAAACAATGCTACCTCCTAACTTAACAAAAGGAGGCCATCCAGCGGGGAGTCTGGCTTCTCCTTCGTTGGAGTCTACCTACCATTGTGGTGATACTTGGTGTTGTTATTTTAAGGGGAAAAGATACAGTTTTTCTCCCCATGATTCAAAAATTTATCTGAACAACTCATTTGAAGACAACAGTATGCAATATAGCAACCATTGGTGAACTCCTACCATCTTGTCTAGTGAAGCTCTGTATCGTTTCTAATGGTTTTTTAAAATTATTTTTTATTCTCTTTAATGGTTTGATCAATCTTGCATTCTCACATCTGGTAATCTGAACAACTTCGTTGAAGATAACAATTTGTAATATAACAACCACTGTTAATTCCTATCATTCTGTTTTGAAACCCTGTATCTTTTTTGTTTTTGCTTTGCTTTGTTTTTGTCTATGCTGTTGTTATTTTGTCATTTTTTATTCTCTTTAAAATAAAAAAAGAAAATGTGGTACACTTTCCTTGCAGAATATTTAAAAAACATGGGACCGCATGTGCCCCTATGTTATACATGCTCACGTATGCCCAGAACCCACAGTCCTAACCCAGGCTATCCATGGCCGACATGTTGCTATATGTGTCAGGCATCTAGTTTTTCACATAGATACTTTTTCATTGAACTGAAATTGCATTCTACTGCACATATCTTATAAGCTGCTTTTTAATATGAACAATATAAGTTTAATTTGTTTTGAAATATTCTTCTACAACGCCATATTCTGACAGCCCCTAGCAAGAGCTACAATTCTCTGTCAGCCACGAATGGGTTAAGGGCGATGCCTATGGTGCTAACAGAACCATTTTACCGTGGCAGTCCAGCCTCGCTAGTCTCCTACACGGTGGACTGTGAGGTTTGGTTCAGGATTGAGTTAGATCCCTCCATCTTGCTCTGCGATTCTCTCCAGAGCCCGCAGAACAGTGGAAAGGAGCCAAAGAGAAGAAATAAATGAAGCAAAGGTGCACTCTGTCCAATTCATTAATTATTAGTAAAGAAAGGGCCACACTACAGAATCTAAGCTTCATGAGAACCGAGAATTTGTATATCTTCACACTTGTGTGTCTGCCGTGTCTAGAACCATCCCAGGCATGTGGTAAATACTCAATAAATATTTTCTGAATAAACAAATGAGCAACTAAAGGGGCTGGGGATTTAGCTCAGCGGCAGAGCACCTGCCTGGCAAGCGCGAGGTCGTGAGTTTGATTCCTGGTACCAGCAAAAAACAAAAAACAAAACAAATGAGCAACTAAAAAACAAATTTGACTGTATCTTAGTTTACTTTTTCTTGAGTGTCAGAGAGTAAGGAACTTTTATTTGGTGCCCTGGAAATGCCCATGGTGCATATCTCCTAAGAGAACGCATCCTCCTGCAGGTTGCTATTGCCCTGGAGTAGTAAGGAACCAGCACAAAGACAAGGCCTTGTATTTCTACCCAGAATTCACGTAAACCCTGAGACTTCCACTTGTTTCTGTGTGTCCACTTCTGCCTGCTGCTCTATTTTGTCAAAAGGATCTGGCCAAAAGAAAAAAAAATTTTTTTAGCTTTTGAACCCCACAGTTAATTTGGACTTGAAATTAGTGTGTGTTCTAAAACTAAATCTGGTAGTTTAAAGATTTTGTTTATGTCTTTTTTTCCCCACTCCTTTAGGTTTAAGAATTAGAGTCCATCTGTAGATTGAATGTTCGTTGGCCCAGGAAATGAATAAATAAGTTAGCAGTGACAAGGAAATGAGTTGTACTGAAGCTCCAAGTCAGCAGTTATGGGGTTTTAAAATTGGTAGGGCTGTTGTTTTTTTTTTTTCTTTTTTTTAACTTAGTAAAAATTATCCCCAAAATGTCCAAGGATGAAAAGAAAATAGCCACTCTGCCTCTAAGGCTGTTTTGCAGCAATTAGCCAAAGAAGAGCCGCATCCTCGGCAGGATGTTCTCTATTGTGTGTGGTGGGGACGGCTGTGCCTTGACCCCCTCACTCACCTACCCCTGGCGCTTTGTTCCGGGGGCAGAGGCAGAGTGAGACCCCTTTGGTAAACTTAGCCTGTTGTAATAGCGAATGAAGAATGCCGAGATGCATTCACCCTCTCCTCCATCCATCCATCAATCGCCGTATTAATCAATCAGCTGAGAAGCCTGGTTAAGCATCTCTCTACAGCCCATTATCCACATTGAGTCCAAGTAACATGGCTTCTATGCTTTGCAGCTTGTAGTTTAAGAGAAAACAACAATGGAGGTAAGGCACAGTGGACAAATAGACAACAGGTAAAACACTGAACAAGTATGTGGGAAGAAAAGCGTGAATAATATTAACACTGTCAATCAATTAACAGGTACTGATGGTGTGCTAATTACACACTCAGCCCCAGGTTGGGTCGCTTTACCAGTGAAATAGCTGAAGATCGGGAAGAAGTTTTGTAAACTATCATCTTAAATTGAGAAACTCACATTAATCTCCACTGAGCGAGGGGAAGGCTCAATGGAAATGTCCAGGGGTGAGGGGGTAGCGTGTTCCCATTGGGGGCCTGTTGGAAACAGGATGGCTAGGATGAAAGGGAGAACATAGAGGGCTTAGGGAGCTAGATTCAATAACTTTAAAGTGACTACATTGCAGAGTTGGAATCATTTTTTTCAGTTCTTTCCATTCTGTTGTAATTTTTTCTAAAACACGGAGGTAGACTCTGAGGTCTGTGGAGAGTGAGATGATGATCAAGCTGGCCTGAGAGAAGGCAGTCAAGGCCTGCAGAAGGAAACAGAGGAAGTGCATGTCACCCTTACGTTGGGTATCAGGGTGACAAAGCTATTCAGAAGGGTCTTGTTTCTGATTTGTGGTTCAATAAGGTTTTGGAAGAGGGTTGCGGTAGTCAGAACCCATAGTGTAGATGTCTTTGGTGACAGCAAGTTCAAAGTCCAGTGGAGAAGAAATTGTCCTGATTTGGGCAAATGATGCCTAAGGCCAAATTATGGATATCTTATTCCTCTAATTCATGATCTGAGAAAAGTAAAACTCTTATCACCTGAACTTTATATGATGTCTAGAAGTTCTAAATCCCAACTCCTAATCAAAGTTTGCTGACATTGTCTTCCTGGCTTACTATAGTGTTCAGCCCATTTTTTGGAATCTGGGTAAAGGATAGATTTTTGATAGATGAGCTTACTGTGGAAACTAACTGCGGCAGTGATAATGTCATTTTAAAAGGAGTAAAGAAAAAATCTTTGTTGGCTATCAACCCCATGGTAGTTACTGTGCTAAACACTATACATTACTTAATCAGTCTTTACAGTCTTCAAAATAAAGTAGTTTTGCTCACATGCTACAGACACTGAGGGTTAAAAGTCAAGTAAATGGACTCAAACCCTATATGTAGTTACTAACATTGTGGGTCTTCTTTTACCAAGCCCCTGCTTTCTCACCTAATTTGGACATCTTTCTTTTCTTTCATTGTTTCCCTTTAGATATATATTAGCCCAAATTGGGTGAAATCAAAATTTGGTATTGATACGCTCTCCCTTCCCCAATTTATCTAGCATACAGATTATAATAGTTGAGTGAATGTATGGGCTTTCATATTTTTGGATTACAGCTTTGGTACAGTATTTGGATATGGCTGTTGAATATCCAGGAAGTCTTTATGCTCAGGACCTGGTAAACAGCCTGCTTGGCTAAAATCCTTAAAGCATGAGGGAGAAGGTTTGATTGTAAGAGATTTTTTCACCAGTGGCTCACCCCAGAAAAGGGCTGGGGCTGCTGACAAAGTGTCTTGGACTCCAGCCTGCCCTTCTGAAATCAAGCCCCAGGCTTAGGAGTGCTAAGACTTCAATTTGTACTCCTAGGTTCTGCACAGTCAGCCTGGAATTTTGATCACCTGCTCTGATTTGTCCTGAGGTTGTGCTTCCCAGACCCTTATGACCATGTCCTTGAAGACATTAGAATAGCTTGCACTTTTATTTCCATGATGCATAAAAGTGTCTTTCATTACCTTTTAGAAATGTATTTGTGAGTTACTTGCAAAATAAGGAAGTTCTCCTAGGAGCCCTTAGCTATTTTTCAGTAGAGATATAGATGTAAATTGGCAAAATTATTGGAACATTGGCTCTCTGTGTTTTGACAAGGAGGTAAGAAGAGGTTGGATTGTGGTGAACACCCAGGGGAGTGTACAGATGGACTCGTAGTGACGACAGCCTGCCAGGGACCCCACGTGCAGTGCCATGTGAGTATTCTGAAGATCCTCTGGGTTTTATACTGTTTGAGAGAGAGAGATCTGTCAAAACCAAACCAAACCAAACCAAACCAACCCAAACCAAACCAAACCAAACCAAACCAAACCAAATCAAATCACATTTTCATTCAATTCTAAAAGTTACTGTGGGACAAACGGGAACATTGCAGGAAATTTGTTTTTAGTTTTGAAGTGAAAAAGAGTTAAAAGGTTTTCTCTGCTTTGTGTCTGGTCCTTCTAAGTGTTATTCCACCAAGTAATACTAATTTAGACTAAGGGAGAGAGTCTAGAGTGTTATACATTGCACTGCACCAGGTACTCTACATATATTGTACATTTTGTACATGATAGGTACTACTTTTTGTTTCATATGTGAAGAACCTGAGGATCTAAGGGATTTAGTGTCACAGAGGTGCTCATTGGCACAGCTGCACAGTGAAGTCTAGGTGCCCTTGAAAGAACTGTCCTAACGGTGCTGTTCAGTGTGGTAACCATTAGCCGTTATAGCTCTTTTAATTCAAATTAAAATATAACTGAAAATTCAACTCCTTAATCAAACTAGCCACATTTAAAGTGCTCATTAACTGCACATGGCTGGTGAGTGTAAGGGACACTGCAGATGGAGAATATTTTCAGCCATCAAAAAATGTTCTATTGGACAGAGCCTCTCTATAACCAAATCAATCATTTTTCCTTGTCATAAGTATTTGTGGAAAATAATAGTAATTGATCTTTTTCTTACTTTAGTGGAGATTGACCAGAGTAAAGATGGAAAGACAGAAGGTGAGAGTTCATGGTTTTTTTTTTTTTTTTCCGGTACCGGGAATCGAACTCATGACCTTGCACTTGCCCGGCAGGTGCTGTGTCACTGAGCTAAATCCCCAGCCCTGAGATTTCATGTTTTAAAGATTTCATATATGGGGAAGATTTTCAACAAATGGAGTAGTTTAGTTACAAATATATGTCTATAGTATTAACCAAACCAGTGAATACAGTAATGCCCTGTAATTATCTATTACTTCTTATTTGATGGGTACTTTCCTAAACTTGTTATACATTTAAACCCCATTGGTCCTCGCTTCAACTCTGTGAAGTAGGTGCCATGTTTATCTCCATGTTATGGATGAGCAAACTGAGGCTTAGTGAAACTGACTTTGTAAGATTATCCGGATAAGGAAAAGTGAATCATGTTGCATTCAGCTTGAGTTCAGATGTAGGGTGCATAACTGGGACTCCAAGCAAGTATATTTTATAGGTTTACTCAGGAGAAAATTTTGAGAATGAGTTGGTGATTAGAAATGGAGTTATAAAAAGCAAATCCTTTAAAAGATATTTCTGTACCTGTAAAATTGATATTATATATCCACATATCCACACACAATGTATGTACATATACATTTACAAACACATGTATCTATCCATTTATGAGACCAAGTCAGATGGAGTGTTGCTAGTGGCAAATAAGTGAGCTAGAAAGGAGAGGATCATATAACTGGACAAGAATGAGCACTATACAACTGATTCTGAGAAAATTCCCCTGCTTTCTTCAGCCACAAGTGAAGGAGAGAAACATCAATTAAGGACCTACCCCAAAAGGGTTCATTTTAATGCTTCTGTAACTTTTCAAGTTGTGAACTAGATTTAAAATTTCTGCAAATGTTATGGAAAAATTCTGGGACAAAGACTGAGTTTACTGTAAAGATCAGAAGTCAACTTCCTATTACTCTATCTGTCTATAATTTGTGCACTTGGAAGTAAAAATTCTTTTGTAATCTGCTTATCTAATGCATTCCCAAATGGTATTATTTTGCCCATCCATCTCAGTTAACTTCACAAAGAACAAGAGTGGCCCAAAACAAGAACCATATCCACGGAGGGTCAGTGCAGCATCGCGTGAGTGGCCTTATTGATTTCCTTCTGGCTGGACAGTGTCGTCTTATGGATAGAGCTTGTATTTTTTTCTTCCAGTACCAGGAATCAAACTCACAACCTTGCGCTTGCTGGGCAGGCTCTGTGCCACTGAGCTAAATCCCCAGCCCCTAGAGCTTGTATTTTAAGTAAATACAGAAGTATTTAGAAGGTGCTAGCTCTTATGTTTATAATTTTTAAATTAAGGAAAATAATATGGAAAACTAAATTAAATTTACATCATTAACAAAGTTCTTCAGTTCCCAAGTGGAAGTAATTTAAAATTCAGTTTATTTTGTACCATTTTAGCTGATGAGTGATTAAAAGTGGCTTTATATGAGAAACTTAGGACTTTTAAAAAATAGAAATACAATTCATATTTTCCATTTAATTTGGTATGATTTTCTAAATTAAGCTATTAGCCATGAAAATAAAAATCTTACAGTCATTTGGAGGATATGAAGTTACCTTAACAGACTGGCATGTATAACTCATCACTACAATGACTGTGTCTGAAAAGTTATCTTAACTTTGTAGTGCTATAATCTTATCCCTTTTCCCATCACGATGTCCACTTTAAATATTTATAAAATGGTGCAAAAACTGTTTACTGAAGAGAATATTTGTTTTATAATTATTCATACCAGTATCCATTTTCACCAAGAAGATAGAGAAGGAAGCACTGAATAATACCGAATCTGGTGCTATGTATTTTTTTTTTCTTCTATTTGAGTGGTAATTTCAGGGTTGGAAACAACTTTAGAGATCTGAAAGCTTTGGTGAGCTGACCCAGAACTATCCAGGGTCTGTAATAGTCGGGACTTGAAACCAGTTCTGTCTCTTCAGGAGCTGTCAACTGTCTAAGCCTTTGGTTCATTTTTTTATCTGATCTTGGACACACTAGCTCTTGATTTAATAAAAATGTAAACCATTTGAGAATAGACTGCCACCTTACTTTGTTAGCTACTGCTATCAAATAGGGACTAAGTCACCTATGTGTGTTATCCACGGGGTACTATGAACACACAAAACCACAGACATAGAAGGGACCTTAGAAATTATCTAGCTCAATCTCCTTGGCTGTCAGGTGGACAAAATGAGGAGTTCATAGGGTTACACAGCTAGTCAGCAGCACATGTGATCCCCAATTCCAGATGGTTTGATCTCTAGTCTGGTCTTCTTATTTCTGTGTTATTTCCAGTGCAGTGTACATTTCTGGGGGTGGGGTGGGGGGGTGAGGCTAGTCAGGTGTTCAAACAAGGATCCAAACATTGTTGAGGCCTATTGACTCTTGTTCCAGTTGCCTTATGGGTGGTTGAGACATTGACAAGGCATAAATATTTGCCAAAGAATCATGAATAAGCTCAGCTGGGAATAAACTTTGATATGCAAATGACAGAGGTGGTTATAAACATGAAAAAAGTTTCTTTCCTTTTGTTTCTTTGAAAATTTTTAAAATCGGTGATAAGAACACATGGAGTCAGGCACATGTTTAAGAAAATAGCATCTTCTGTGGGCTCTTGTTGCTTTTGGGAATACTGCATGCGAACCGGGGCTTTGATAATTTCTGCAAAGCATAGTGGCACGAGGAAAGAAGGCTGCTTGCTGACAGTAACCTACAGACAAACGAAAACCCGGGCTGTGTCCTGAGAGTTTTAGGTAAGCCAGGCTCATAATTTGATTTGAGAAGAGCTACTCCAGGCTACTGTGTAATTACAGAAGCATTCACTCGGCTGGCTCCTGTTCGCCGCACCACGTTCTACTTCATTGCCCTTTATACTAAAGCCCCTGTTGATGAGAGGGCGGAAACAGTAAGTACAAATAAAGCAATTAGCAGGTGGGGAATGCTACCACTGTTTAAGGATAACATGCAATCTTTATTGGTACTTATTAAGTAGAAGTCTAGAGCTTAGAGACAAAGGGAAATATCGCAAGCCACAAAAATGAGGAGCAGTGTGGGAACGAGAAGAACAAGGGGGAAATTAGACCAACGTATCTATTTGATATTTCAGAATCTAACCCCAAAGACTAGTTTAAAAAATGTCATTTAAAAAACCTCCATCGTGTTTATGTTGCAGTGAGTTCCATTCTCAAGTAAAATTTGCCTTTCTAGAAGAGTTTTCTTCCTCCTTCTGTTCTCTTTTATCATGCGAGTTAATTTGAAAAATATTTTTAACAGTTATTATTGTGTTCAAGGGAGTTTTGAGTTTGGGTTGTAGTCAAACCCACCAGCAGGGGGAGTTAGGATAATTAGCAAACCTTCTTGGTAAGGTCCTGACATTTACAGCGTAGATTCATAGACACGGTTGGCAGCATTGAAAATGCCCAGGGTGGATAAGGGATATAATGGGTGAAATCAAGAGGACTTCAAAAAAAAAAAGAGGACTTCAAGTGTTCTTGAAATCCTAGCACAGCTATTGAAAGTGGACAAGAAAATAGGACACAGGCTTTCTGTGTCCTTTTGCAGAGAATTCCAGGCACTCTGGCTCTCAGTTTATTCATCTGAAAACAGGGATGATCCAACCAGAATGTTATAATCCTTGTAACTCCGTGGATGGCATTGCTCATTCTGATCTTACCTCATTTTGTGTGACCAGGTAGTAAGGCAGGGTATAAATGATTACATTCCTCTCAGAACAGCCCAAAGAGATGCCTTGCGTCTGGTTTTGGTCATGTTCTTTTGTCTTGGGATCTCTTACTAATTAAAACTCTGCTCACCAGTTCAACTACTGAAGCGGGGCATATATTCTGACTTGAGTGGTAGATTTCTAGTTGCCTCATGTAAAATGAAAGCATGGGAGTTGGAGGAAAGAATCAGTATGTTTTGCCTTTGATTTAGAGATTGGTGGGGACTTAGAGATGGTGGGAGGGTACTGTGGACTGAGATGTGCACAGCTTTCTATAAAGGTAAATTTGCTATAGTAGGGGTGGCTTGCATGCTAGAGCACCAATTGCTATTGGAACATTAAATTCTTTTCATCCTAGGGAAATTATAGTTCCTTTCAGGGGATACTTTTAGTGCTCAATATAGGTTTTTCATCTTCCTCTTTCCCATTCTTTCATCAACTAGCAGCCACTTGAGGTAAACACGGAAGATCGAAAGTAAAACCTCTTGGGCAATGATACTGAAGGAATGTTCATTTCATCCTTTGGTAGAAACTACAGCACCTGGATAGGGCAGGGCATTATCTCAGAAAGACTAAAGGCCAAAGAGGACAGGACCAGACCTTCCTCAGCTTCACTCAAGGGAGGTGACTCACTAGGAAAGCAGGCAAAGAGAATGTCACGAATTGCGCAGTGGTCACTGCCTTGCATCTTTGTTACCTTTTAATAGAGCTAGTAAATATTAGAGTGTGTATGTCATGAACCTTCTTTGGAAAAGTGTAAATTATGTGTTTAAAGTGGTTTTCGTCTGAGGATTACCATTATACTTATGTACTTTTATTATACTAGTACTGGATGTGCAAAACCATGAAAAGTTCTAACTGATGCCTACTAAGTCAAAATTTCACAGAGGTACAGAATTCCCACCACCTGTGAGCTCTCTCACTGCCACCATCATCATCATCACTGCCATACCCTGGGTTAGTTGTAGTCTTTCATAGTTTTGTAAGGCATTTTCATGTTCATGGATTCAATTCTTCTTAACAACTTTATGTATTATGTAGGTTAGATAATATCATAGGGGTTTTCGTAACTATTAAAAATTTGATTTTTATTAGTGCATAGGTGCAGTATATAAGGGTTATATTGCACCATGGGGAATCGGTGATGTCCCTAACACATCTTCATGGTTTTGAAGGTAAAGAAATAGACATGAAGAAGCTCTCTGACCAGCACAAGCTGGCAGCTTGGAACAGTAGCCCAGTGCCGAAATCAGTCTGAATCAGAACTGGTCTCTACCTGTTCTTGCTTTAAAGATGCATGTGCAAGAAACTAGAATTTGTTTCAGTAATTACCCAGCTCTTAGGAATTGTTAGTACTTTGTCAAAAAATGAATAGAGCTGAAGATTCACACATTCTCTTGAGAGCGGGCTCTGGGAGTCTTGGTATTTTAGAAATGTGACAAGCAGCGGAACAGGATACAAAGAATGTGATTCATCTTTTTACCACCCCTTTTCTTACCTCGACGTTGTCAGGTTAAGAAAAATAAAGCATGGGCAAACCCAGGTGGTTGTGGTTGAACAGAAGGATGGGTGACCCTCCCTGCTTAAAGGCCTCAAATGCAACTCCCGGCATTGCCGCTCTTCTCTAACGTTCGTCCTCCTCCTGGGAGTAAGCCCTTGATGGTGCTTGGAATCCACATTGGGAATTTTTCTGCTTTGGCAAACTCAGAAGTATACATTTCTGCTGCCCGTTTTGTCTCGTCCAGTCTCAACTCCTAAAAATTTCTTTTTCCTCTACTTAGTGAAATGCAGTTGACAGCGAGTCAGTGCAGTTTATATTGATGGCAAAACTTCAAGAACATACCCATTGGCATTTTGAAGCAGTCTGCGTTTAGAATAAGCACTCCCGCCTCAGTGTTTATAAAGGTCTGATGCAGTTAAAAAGCAAGTGACTGCTGCAGATTCTTCCTAGTGAAGGAAAACATGGTCTTTATTTGACTGTGAATGGAATCACAGATACCCACAGTCTTCATCAAACACAGATTCTCCAGCTCACAGTCTCCCGCATGGTTGCCTTTTAGGCTTTCTTGTCCTCCTCACGGTAGCATGAAGCCTCTGGGAGCCTGGCCTGGAGGAAGCCAAAGGGAATTATCTCCTTACAGGTCATCAGCAGTGGACCATGAACGATGACTGATGCTTCCAGGTTGCCGGGAGGGAGTGGCCACACTGGATAACATCTGCCACTCCTGCAGGAAATGTGGGGCATCCCATTCCAAAGGGTCCTTGGAGCCAATAGCCTCCTTCTCTTCTCTACTCAGAAAACGTGCTCCCTGTTATAGTGGGGGATATGTCCAATACCCAGAAATGTTTAACAAGGAGAATAAACATATTGTAAATTCACAACTGAAATACTCTCTGAAGTGTAGACCGTGGCCGTGATAGCGTGGTGTGGAAATAACGTGGTTGTCTATTTACTATGAGCGTTTGATGACCGGTTGGCCTGACGGCAGATAGGATAACATCTCCCTTCACTTTGTGGAAGCCAGTTCCTCCTGGTGGTTCAGGTCTGTTTCTGACTAAGCAAGTTGTTCCTTTAGTTCCTGTTTCAAGGCAATTTCTGATGGTGGACACAGGACATATTTTTCTCCGCTCGGCTCTGTGTCTGTCTAGTCATCGGTCAGTCGGAGACTCCAGGTTGGAGGTCTACATAAGTTGGAATCTCGCTAGCCTTTCTAAACCAGATGAAAGTACACACCCCAACTGGCTTATAAAAGAAGTTCATCTAATCACATAATGCCTCTGTAATGTGGTTTTTTAAATTAAGTGACCCACAGGATATTAATCTAGTGGTAACAACTCCCAAGGGACGTAGCATTGGCAAACACTTCAAGAGCAGCTAGAACTACTATTAAATGGGATGTTCATTTCATCTGAACATATGGAAATCAAAACAAGCCATGGGGGAACTGCAGTGCTCTGTACATGCTATATTGTTCATAAACCTGTCATAAATAAGTGCCTCTTTAAAAGAAACCAATTAATAAATGTGCCTTGAATTACAAAGTTTAAATATTCCATAATATGGGATCTCTTTCCCTGGCCCCTCCACCCGAATTCCCACTCCTGCCAGGGGCCCCTTGTTATTCAAGCTGTTAGAACATTTTCCACCGTGTAACACATCTCTGTTTTGTTGTTGTTGATTGAGCAATTTGGTTGGTCCAGCAGCTTAAAAAAAAAGAGGAAGAAAAAATCTGTAAGCTATAAAATGCATCTTCTTTCTTCCTTTGTCCGTGTATTAGAGTCTGGCTTGGCGCTAGAACCCCGCCCCAAACCTCCCACCAAGAACATGTCATATTTCTATGTGCTCGTGCATGTTCAGCTCTACCTCTTTTGAAATGATACCCAAAACTTAGCAATGTTTACATAAGTAAAAGGGAGTTTCACTTTTATGCTGCAATTTCTGCATGGAGCATAGAGTTTTCCTAGCCATACCTTGTACTTTGTTCATAGGTGAGCTTCTATTTTTCTAATGTGATGGTTTTATCCACCTTTGACAACAGATTTTTTTAGGAGATTATACACCTGGAATTAACTTTTTCTGCCAAGAACTGCAGTGCACCTGGAAGTACTAAATCATTTTTAGCTATGTTTTTGAAACTTTTCAGAGTGAAATTGCATCTCTTGAACTTCACTTGTCTCTTGAGGAGAAGCTAAAGAGTACAGTTGGGTAGGTGTGTATTCGCTGGTGCTATGAAATAAATATATTGAGGGTGTGTTACTCACCACCCAAACACCAGCTCCCTGAGCAGCTCACTTCTTAAATGACTCTGCTTACCGCATAACATATGGAAATGTGAGTCTGCACTTTCAGCAGATTGTTTGCTATGTTTACACCAGTTCTCACACTAATCCCCATTAATGTTTGATATAGTGCCCAACAGGTCGAAGTAGATGTCAGACACCGTATCTCTTGTGTACATGTTGGGCATGATATCCATTTAAACGAGAAGAATGATGAAGAAGAACTTATAGGGATTTCCTTTCTTTAGATAT